AGAGCTTACATGGCGACGGAGCATGCGCGCTCGCGTAAATATATTCAATTTCAGGGAAAAATGATATATTCTCTTATAAAACGGGTAATAAAAATAAAATTCTCAATTAAAAATTTTAATATTTTTAAGACCTTTTTTTTAGTGTAAGAACTATTTAAAAAGCTTGTGCCGTTTTGGAGAAATTTTGCAAAATATGATAAAGATAGGTACTCATTGGGGATTTTTTTTCTAATAAGGGGTTGACAAAAATACAATTTTGTTAAATTAAAAACATTTAACAAATCTTCTTCTGTTACCTTGTATTTTTTCTTTGTGGATTAAATGAACAGTTATTGAGATTTTTTTACTTAAATATCCTAGATTTAGGCATTTCAACCACTGTTAAGGCCTTAATATGCAATTTGGAATCAGTTCCAAGTAATTTAAATTAGAAAATGAGACAATAGAGGTAATCTCTAGCAGTTATAATAACTTAAATAATTTAGAATGTGGCTTACAAATCTTTAATTGTATGACTCTCATCATCATCATCATTACAGCCCTTCACAAGTCCACTGCTGAACATAGGCCTCCCCCAAAGAATGCCACAAAGCACGGTCCTGAGCCACCTGCATCCATCGACCTCCCGCATGTCTTACCAGGTCGTCACTCCATCTCGTGGGGGGACGCCCTACACTTCGCCTACTGGTACGAGGCTGCCACTCGAGAACCTTTCTTCCCCATCGGTTGTCGGTTCTTCGAGCTATATGGCCGGCCCACTGCCACTTCAGCTTACTAATCCGTTTGGCTATGTCGGTTACTCTGGTTCTACTGCGGATATCCTCATTCCTAAGTTTATCACGCAGAGAAACTCCGAGCATAGCCCTCTCCATAGCTCGCTGAGCGACCTTGAGCTTCCTCATACGGCCAGCAGTGAAGGACCACGTCTCAGTTCCGTAAGTCACCACTGGCAACACGCACTGGTTGTACAATTTCGTTTTCAGGTTTTGAGGTATTTTTGACGAGAAGATGTGTCGTAGCTTCCCGAACGCTGCCCAGCCGAGTTGAATCCATCGATTGACCTCTCGGTCGAAGTTGGACTTACCTAGTCGGACTATTTGTCCCAGGTAAACATACTCGTCAACAACTTCGAGCTTAGTGCTCCCAACAACTACCGGCATAGGTGTGACATGGACATTGAACATGATCTTTGTTTTGTCCATGTTCATCTTAAGACCTATCCGTTGGGAAACACTATCGAGGTCATTGAGCATAGTGCTTAGGTCCTCCAGCGATTCTGCCATAAGGACTATATCGTCGGCAAATCGAAGGTGAGTGATGTACTCGCCATTGATGTTGATACCGTATCCTTTCCAGTCCAGAAGCTTGAAAACGTCTTCCAATGCAGCGGTGAAGAGTTTCGGGGATATGACGTCACCCTGTCTTACACCTCTCTGCAATTGGATAGGTTTCGTACTCTGATTCTGTACTCGGATAGCCATCGTAGCCCTACTGTACAAGCACTTCAACACTTCGATATACCGATAGTCAACTTGGCACCGCTGAAGGGACTGCAGCACCGCCCAAATTTCGACGGAATCAAAGGCTTTCTCATAGTCCACATACGCCAGACATAGTGGCAAATTGTACTCTTCGGACTTCTGTACAATTTGCCGAAGGGTATGTATGTGGTATGGGTATGACTCTACAGAAAGATAATGAAAATTGTTTACACCTGGTGCATCAAAATATACAAGGCATGATAGGCAAAGAGCTAGAAATTGAGTTGTTCTTAAATAGCAACAATATTCATATCTTATGTATTACTGAACATTGGTTAAAAGCTTATAATTTAATGTTTAGCTTCAGTAATCACCAGGTGGTCAGTTCTTTCAATAGAGATACGGTTTTAAGAGGTGGCTCCTTAATATTAGCTAGTAAATTATTATCATGTAAAGAACGTAAAGACATTGTGAGCCTCTCTGTTGAGCGAACTGTAGAAATGGCATGTGTTGAGTTTGAGCACCTCATTGTTGTGAGCGTCTACAGACCCCCATGTTGTACATATGATACTTTTGAAAACATTATGGAGGAAGTTTTTGCTAAGCTTAATAAACAGAATAAATTTGTTGTAATATGTGGAGACTTTAATATCAATCTCCTAGAAGCTTCCTCCATCAATATTAAATTTAGATCATTGTTTAAATCATATGGTCTTTTTAATTTATTTATAGAGTCAACGCGTATTTCTCTCTAGTGCAACATGTATAGATAACATTTTTACAAATGTGAAGCCGTTGCATAAATGTATAATTCAAAAATTAAGTTCTGATCACTGTGGACAAGTAGTTTCGTTATCTTATGTTCACAAAAAGCAAGTAGATGAGAAAGTTGTGTCTGTTCCAGTAAATGCACGTCGCTTGGAGAAATTTAGAAGAAACATAGTGAAAAAACTTCCATCACTTTCATACCAAAATGATCCTAATTTTTTGTATGGAACATTATTTAAGCTTATTTGCAATGAATTTAATAATACCTTTACTTCTAAAACATTCTCCTTGAACAGTCGGAAGTCATTCAATGAATGGGCGACAGTAGGAGTCCATAAGAGCAGGCATAGGTTATATGATCTTTACCATGAAAGGTCATATAATCATAGCGTCGAATTTAGGGAATATGTAAAAAAATATTCAAAAATATTTAAAAGAGTGTGCTCCATAGCCAAGTCTTTGCATTTGAGCAACAAAATTAAGACGGCTTCCAATAAAATTAAAATGACATGGAGTATAATTAATAGCGAAACTGGTAAGATCAACTCTCGCAATTAAAATTACCAGTTAAGTGTTAACAACAAATTAACTGTATCAGAACAGGACGTAGCAATGGTTTTTGAGAAATATTTTACTGATATTCGGATCTTGACCACTAAGTCACTGAATTCTTCTCCTGCCGTCGCCGAATCATTACTTAAACAAAATGTAAATGTGTGTACAAAGAGTTTTACATTTCATAAAGTGTCATCAAAAGATATTGTAAAATATTTTAAAACTATTGATGTTAAGAAAACTGCGGATCTGTGGGGGATTTCCGTTAAAGTTATTGCGTCTATAATAGATACAATCGCGCCTCATTTAGCTATTATTTTTAATACTAGTATCGAATCTGGTGTGTTTCCTGATTTAATGAAGCATAGTAAAGTAATACCTTTATTTAAATCTGGTAGTACATTAGACCCCGCCAATTTTAGACCTATTTCTGTACTACCAACACTTAGTAAGATTTTTGAAAAAATTATTCTTGATCAAATGTTAAATTTTTTTAATATAAATAATTTACTTCATAAAAATCAATTTGGTTTCACAAGAGGTCGCTCGACAACTGATGCCGGTGTTGAGCTGATTAAATATATCTTTAATGCATGGGAGAATTCACAGGATGCTTTGGGTATATTTTGTGACCTATCCAAGGCCTTCGATTGTGTTCACCATGAAACATTAATCAGGAAACTTCAACACTACGGTGTAAGAAGTGATGCCCTTAAATTAATTATTTCATATTTAAGTAAGAGAACGCAAAAAGTTGTCATTAACAATATGAGCTCTTCCGGATCGATGGTACAAATGGGCGTGCCTCAAGGCTTAATTCTCGGCCCCTTTCTGTTTCTTGTATACATTAATGACTTACCTTACATAGTAGGGGATAACCATGATATAGTATTATTTGCAGATGACACTTCTTTAATTTTCAAATTAAGTCGACAGTTACTAAAATATGACGAAGTAAATAATGCTATATCTAAATTAGTAAATTGGTTCGATGTTAATAATTTGCATTTAAATGGCACTAAAACAAAATGTATGAAATTCGTGACTCCAAATGTCAAACAATTAAATACTAATGTAATTTTAAATGGGGAGAAACTGAGTCTTGTAGATACCACCATTTTTCTTGGAATCACACTAGACGCGAAGCTTCAATGGAGCCCCCATATATCAAAACTAGCAAGCAGACTTAGTTCTGCAGCATATGCTGTAAAAAAGATTAGAAGTCTAACCAGTGTTGAAACAGCTAGACTAGTTTACTTCAGCTACTTCCATAGCATAATGTCGTATGGTATTTTGCTATGGGGACACGCAGCTGACATTGAAATTATATTTGTTTTGCAGAAGAGGGCCATAAGAGCAATTTATGATTTAAAGCCTAAAGAGTCGCTGCGACAAAAATTTAAGGAAATTAATATATTAACTTTGGCCTCTCAATACATTTATGAAAATGTAATGTACGTACACAAAATAAAAGTAGTTTTACAAAAATAAGTGATATTCATTCTGTAAATACTAGGAACAGACACAAGCTAGTAGTACCAGTTACTCGACTCCATCGAGTCAGTAATTCATTCTTGGGGCGATGCATACGCTTTTACAACAAAATTCCAGAAAATATACAAAGTTTGACCTGTTCAAAGTTCAAAAACTTTATTAAACTAAGTTTGTATATAAAAGGTTATTATAATATTAAGGAATTTATGGATGATAATAACCCCTGGAAATGAGGTGATCGCTACCAAGCTATTTCTAATTTGTTGTGTTGTTAATTTGTGTAACATCATGATTGTAAGCTGTTATTTAATAAAAAGTCCCGCTGGGTTTCTTGCTGGTTCTTCCCAGGACAGAGGTTTTTTCCGAACCAGTGGTAATCAAACAAAAGAGTGACTTTCAATAAGTATTATTTATAATCTATATTGAATAAAAAAGTTTCTCTATTTAATAATGCCTCGACCTCATCATACTTAAGTTTGAGGAGCCATGGTCAGCAATCGCGTGTTCGACCACTAGACCAAGGAGGCTGTCAAGGATGAAGAGATGATTTGTCATATTATGTAACATATATCAACCAAATACCAATGCACGGGGTGAAACACCTCCAACTTCCTGACTCCGGACTAAGACTGAGAATTTCTTTACAGAAAAGCGCAATAACTGATTTTTGAACTAAAATTGCACGTTTGTATATTGTTACAGGCACGTCGCCAGCGTTTATACATTCAAGCGCGCATTTCTAACGCAATAGTAGACCGTTTGTTCTCCGTGCGTGCCCACACTCCTGATCTTCGCGACATCTTCCCCGGCATCGAGAGAGCCAGGCTCAAGCGCACCTCGTCTGCCGTGTGGCGCACTCCGCCCAGCATGGACTCCAGGTCACCCACACTGACACTACCCTTGAACTAACTCCTACACTAAATAATATTTATTTATGGACTCCAGGTCGCCCGCGCTGACACTACCCTCGAAGTAACTTCTACACATAAATTATATTTATTTATGTTATGTGTGGCCAAATATGTCTGTGATCTGGCGTTATCATAATGAAAGACCACTCCTTTTCTGTTGATCAATTAAGGCCGTTTTTTTTTAATTTCTTGCGTAAGTCTCATTAGTTGTTGGCAGTAGAGATCCGAATCTATGTTTTGCCCGGCGGTAAAAGCTCATAATAAACTATGCCCTTCCAATCCCACCATACACACAGCATCACCTTATTGCATGTTAATCCGGGTTTCGTTACAGTCTGTGGAGCTTGACTACCCTTTGACCATGATCTTAATCGTCCGTTCTTATCGTATCGTTTTCATCGCCACTGATAAATATTTTCAAAAATGGTTTGGTTTCATCACGTTTCAATTGAGAATCGCAAATGAGTACACGATTCATTAGGTTTACCAAATATCGACCTTTTTGTATAGCCAGACTTTCAAATGGGTCAAAACTGTTTTGTGGTCAATACTCAATTCCTCGGCTATGTCGTAACTACTAATATGCCGAACTTGCTCCACTTTTTCGAAAATGGCATCGACTTTATCCGTATGTTGGCGACCTGAACGAGCTGCATCTTTGACCTCGGAATTCCCGGACTGAAAACACTTGAACCAACTTTGTGCTACTGTTACTGGCACTGCATTTGGTCCATAAACGTCACAAATTTTTTTCGCGGCTATAGTCGCATTTTCCCCTGTTTTGTAATAAAACTTCAGATGTATCGAATTTCTTTGTTAGATTCGTTCATTTTGGCGGACAGAAAAACAAATGAAAAATAACGGGAAAGTGTTTTTTTATTTTTCTTTTTCTTAATTTCCTATATCGTCGTTCATAATGCAATTTGTTCAATGTCAAAAATTTAATTTTTTTTTTATTTCTAAGGTATGCTTTAATTTTAATTTTGAACACGACTGATAAAGGTTCAATGTCATCTACCAATAGCAACGCGGCGTTTGAAACTTGCAATATGTCACGTGATCGACTCGGCAGTAAATCGTATACAGGCAAATAGTTCTATGTCCAAGTTTGAGCGGCAACGGATTTTTGCTCTGAGAAAGAACAAGTGAAAATTATTAATTAAGTTATACTATTGTGCCTTGTTTCTGAGGTAAGTTGATAACTATCATAAATTACGTATCATTGTGTGCTGGTTTTAGTTGGTTTTTGTTGATATCCTGGTTTTAATTGCACTTATGAGAAATCTTAACCTAACTTTTAACAAAAAGCGCCATGAGTCCGCTTTTTGACACCTTTTTTTTTTACTGTAAAGACATAGTGACGCGAATTTATTAACAGATAATGTTTCTTCATAAAAAAATGCATATTTTGAACTTTTTTGTTAATAATACCAATAAAACAATAAGACCTATGTTGCATAAGTACGTAGTTACAAACGCGACATAGAACCTTTTGAATTTTGCTTTGGTTTTGTATGCATGGCTTGGTGGTTGATTGTTGCAGATGAATAACACAAGAGGAAGGCGGTTACTACAGTTAGCTACAAGTTCCTCTGAACATCCTCGCCAGCACCGACTGAACGAAGCTACTGGCCAGTTGTATGAAGATGAAACTATGCAGCAGTGTGACACGTCTAGTGAAGAGGTTTTGTTCGAAGAAGAGTCGTCTTCTGACTCAGACTACCTGCCAGAAGAAAGTAATGTTGGCTTTCATTCTAATGCATTAGAAGAAAGTACGAGCTCAAACGAAAAGGTCCTTGATTAGAAGACAGGATTGCTTACTCGGAAGGATGCCCACAAAAGAAAACGCAACGCGTAAAGACATTAAGAAATTCTAAGGCTACGTTACAAGGTAAACAGTATGAAGGTTTTGAGAAGAATAGGAATGGAATATACAAACAAACACTATTAAGACCAGCTAAAGGCTTACAGGAAAGATGTGGTGGGTATACTGAAGTGAAACATGGGGGACCGAGACAATGGTTTTGAATTTGAAATGTTAACCGAAGAAGACCGAAAACTGATTTTAATTCTTATTGAGCACTGAGTTCTTGGGAAGCTCGTAAAGTATACGTCCGAAATTTAGTAAGTGTATATGCACCACTGCATCGACGTTCATCAAGCGTAGATTCTAGGAAAAACGAAAGAATTAAATATTTCCTATCTTTGAAAGATAATGCTAAGAGAGTTCATGTTTGTAAGCAAATGTTTATGACAACTTTGAGCATTGGCCAAAGACAACTGAGTGATTGGGTTGTTCCTAATAAAGATGTGACAGAAAGATTTATTATCTCTCAAAATGGAAATGATTGTAATGCAAGGACTCAAAATAATGCATTCGATTCAATTCGAGAATTTTTCGACAGTCTGCCGAAAGTAGAGTCCCATTATTGCGGAGTGTCTTCCTCAAGTTCATGGTGTTCTGTATGCTAAATATAAAAAGTTTTGTTCAAATAACAATAAGAGACGATATTGTGTTGCGACGTTCGAGAGGAAGTATCGCAAGCTTAATTTGTCTATTTTTAAGCCCAGGAAAGACCAGTGCAACAAGTGCTTAGCCTACAAGAATGGTAATATTAATGAAGATGAGTACAGGAGTCACTTAAAGAAAAAAGAAAGAGCAAGACGAAGAAAAGGTAATGACAAAAACAATACTGAAGGTGATGTATTAGTATACACTATGGATGTCCAAGTGGTACTTCTATGTCCAAGAATCCAGGCATCAGCTGTTTACTATAAATCAGAAAAGAACATAATTATGGAACAAAAATATCTCGAAGTTGGACACACCCAGATGGAGGTCAACTCGATACATAGCAGCATCGAAAGAAAGTTGCCACCTCATCGAGATATTTTCATTCCTGGAGACTACATAAATATAATAACGAGCGCAAGAAGCAAGCCTGAACCGTATAAAGTAGTTTTATTAAGCTACAGTGATTTCAGCAGATATGAAGGTGGTAGATACTCCAGCATTTGACCACGAAACAAAAAAGGCGATCCTCTTGTAGTCGACATTGTAAGCCTGCAATAAAATCCAGATGGGATCATACGTTATAAGATGGACTTTAATGACGACTTCAAAGAATTACCGCGACGCTCAAACAAAAACTACACACGAACTGATACTGCCCATTATCAATCATTTCTTCCTATTGACACTACAAAATTTATACATTTACAAGAATTAAAACCACTGATTCCTAAAGATTATCACCCTTTTTGTTCAGCTCCTGATGCCTGTCCTCATAAACAAAATAATTAGTAGGCAATGATCCCATTGCATACTAAACATTAATTATTACATTGGTTATGTACATCATTTTCTTCATTTTACCCTGTCATTAAAGTATAATTCGTGAATTTTAAAACAAGTTCAATTTTATTTTGCTATAAGCTAACATCATTTAAGTTTGTCAAGAAATTTACGTCAATATTGTTGTTTATTTTTCTTAACTATATATATTTGTGATTGTTCCTACTTTAATTATAAATAACTAGAATGAATTTTTGATACTTAAAAAATTTTCATACAAATAAACTATCAATATGTTACATGTCACAAATTTTACGTCAATTGTAGTTACAATAGTTGTCAGTGTATGTCAAATTTCTTAACAAAATATAATTATTTATGGAAATATCAAAATGCACATTTAAGGCGCAGGTTGAGCAAAATGTCGCGCTAGTCGTTATTTGGGCGGTTTTTAGGAGCTATCTACTTTTTATTTAAAAGATATATCAACAAATAAAAAACACATTATATTTCTACATAATCTTGATTCCATAAAAGCTATATCCAATTTTTTTTTAAAGGAATAAATATTAATATAATCTCCTTACAACGAAACCACATAAATGTGAAATTATTATTGATAACATGCATCTCCTCGTAAAGTAAGTATTATTTTATTTTGCGATTTACACCAATGGATAGGCAATTTATTAATGAACATTTCTATAGTAAAATTTTTTTCAAAAGACCAAAATTTGATTTTATTAAGAAATTATTTTAAAATCTGGGCGTATATACTGCTCACGGGCTTGATGAAGTCAGTGAGCGCTGAGCTCTTCGACGTGAAGCCCGTGTCGTTAGAGCGTCGACCGACGCATACGCCACGTCATATGAGTCGATAATATTATTACTTATTAGGTTATTTATAGGTAGTATTATTTGTTTGTTTTGGGTATAATTTTTCGTATTAGTTATACATATATTTGTTGTGTTTTTTACTGCGCGATGAAGATTTATGCGTGTATTTTCTTTGAAGTAAATGCAAATAAAAAAATGAAGCACCATTAGCATGTGAGGTTCGAATCCATAATTAAAATTTCGACAAATATTATAATTTACACTATAAAAGGCTAATTCAATATTATCACCCAACCACAATATCTTATCAGGTATAGTACTGCCTCGTTGGTCTAGTGGTTGTAGTAGTGCGACTGCTGATCATGAGGTCCCGGGTTCGAATCCTGGGTCGGGCCAAAAAGTCAGTTATGAGTTTTTCATTTATGTTCTAAGTTATAATTAGTATTACTAAGTTATAGTTTTTTGCTAAAATATAGTATATTATTTATTGCTTGTTTTTTCTTCTTTTTCAAAAAATAATTGAGTACATAAGGTGTTCTATACTTATATCTCGGTAAAAAGTACTAATATACCTACTTTTTACTATAAACTAAAAATTTTTAAAACTAAATTTAACTAAAAAGACTAAGCTGACCATTTATTTTTTAACTCATAACAGGACATGGGTTTATTTATACTCTAAAAACTATAACTTTATACAATTAGTGTTCACTATAAAATTATATTCGGTATAATTTTTAATTCGGTAATTATTAAATGCAACATATTTTTTTTAATTATTAATTACATTTGTCAGTGGATTAAATTTGCTTTAATAAAGTTGGTGATGATTTTA